TTTTGGTTATTTCTCCCAAACGCGTTGAGCTAGGAAGCTCAAATTTTCTGACTTTTCCTAAAAGGCTTCTACGCAACATGTCTGAAAATTTTGAGTTGATCTGACCTCAGGTCAGGTCACCAGAGGCGGTTTGGTGACCCTACCTCAGAAAAGTTTGCAATCACGCCAGAGCTAGAGTTTTTGACCGATCAATTTCTTCTCTTCAGGGTTTAGTTAGGGTACCAGTATGTGCAATTTGTATATCTCGGAATTTTGATATCGGTGACCTAAGGTCAGGTCAATTTCGCGACCTCCCCATTATAAGTCAATGGGGGAAAAATCAACTCCCTGTTTTTACCACTAAAACGGGTCGGAATGGCCCCATATACCATACATGACTTCATATACGATCAACCTTCACTACCTTGAGGTCTGTTTTGCTGCTGGGCAGCTGTGAGGTCATGTGACGTCATCAAAGGTCACCAAAGGTTTTTGGCCAATAACTCCGTACAGGAACAAGATACAGACGCGTGGATGGTCTCATTGTGTTCAGCTCATCAAGACGCATCGAATGATATACATGATGACCTCGAGGTCACGTGACCTGAGGTCAACCTTTGACCTTGACCTTTCGAGGTCAACATATATATCATTCGATGCGGATTGACGAGAGGATCACGATGATGCCCTTAGCTTGTTCCTATCTTGACTAATTCGAAAGTTATTCGAGAAAAACTCTCCATATCTAGCGCCGCCATTTTGACTTTTTCGACCCCTGTGACGTCATCTTTGACCTGACCTGAAAATGACCTTAGTAAAAATTGTAGATCTTGGCCGTGCGTATCCGATGCCGTTTACCGCTTGTCGCTATCTTGCTTCGTTCTCGAGATCTCAGGGGGGGCCGAATCGGCCCCCCCCCCGCCAGTTTCTTGTCCCGGCGGAGCCCGCCAGGAATAGGGTTAAACAAAGGCTCCTAAGGAGCTCCACTGAGCCCTAAAGAAGCTTTCAGAGGGCCCAACCGGCCTCTGAAAGTCCCACTGGTGTCCATGTTCTCTGAGGGCCCAAACAGGGATCTTTGAGCCTTCGAACATTTCTGAGAACCTTAACTGGCCTCTGATAGTTCAGCCAAACTTTTGAGGCGACAGATTTTGCTAACCCCAAGCCGGCATCTGAGGGGTCACAGCTCACGTGTCCCTCTGAGGTCCGCAGCACATGTTTATTATGTCCCGTAGGGTCCTTAGGGATTCGACACAGACCCCGAGGGTTCACACTGTAATCCGAGGGCTCCAGGCTCACTCTGGGCCTAGTCTCTTAGCGCCCGCCGCCATCACTGGCTTCTGAGGGCCCCACCTTGGGCTCGGAAAGCCCTAAAGCACCACGTATGTACACGTAAATATATGAGGTGACCCACGCCGATCTCCGGGATCCTAAGCATGCTTCTGAGAGTCAGCACTGACCCTGAGTGGCCTGAAATGGCCTGGAAGTCCCAAACCTATCTCTAAGGGATCCCTTGCCGCTATAGTTTTGGTTCCGTTGAACAGTTTTTGTTCGCGTTTGCAGCGCTTCCCTTCACACGAAAAACGAGAAACTTTTGTTCACACTCGAGTGAACAAAACACTTCTTCTCACTGGAGCAAAGATGAATTACTTCCGATTCACACTTCCGACATTCACTCTCCGCCGAATGCCCAACTAAGCTACGATCGGCGGCTGGGATAGGTCATATGCATTTCACGTAAAACCTCTGCATGCATGCGTGAATGGAGGTTTTAGCAGGGTGATCCGATTAAATGGAGCGTTTTTCACCCTTTTCTGGGTAATGAATGATCATGAGCGTCCGCGTCGATCGTCTGCACCAAAGTCGATCGTCTGCACCCTCTGCACTGCGTCGGCAATCGCAGCCACTATATACTATAATTCTACCAGTGGTTTTCGTCACGAAACTTCAAAATTTCGAATTTTTCTGTAAAAAACTACATGTCATAGCTAGAAGGAAACCTGTGTCACCATCGGATTCCTCGCACCATTGCGCGTCGATATATGTAAAACGAGTGAGTAAAGATGGGGAAAGGCACGTTTTAACACAAAAGTTGATTTTGCCCCCCCCCCAACCGAAAATCTCTGGCGACGCCTATGGGCCGACGTCGGCATGTTTACTGGGTTCGCGCAAAATTGGTACACCTACAAATAGCCCATGGCACGCTGAGTTCGAAAATGATGACCTTTTTCCCAGGTAAAACCGTTTGACCCTGAGAGGTCAAAACACTGCCTGATTTTAAGGGTACGGCGACTTTTAAAGTGACCTTGAACTTGACCTATGACGACCCAGTAAACATGCCGACGTCGGCCCAACGTCGGTTCAACCTCGGCCCGACATCGGCTGGACGTCGGATATGCCCGCATGTTCCGACGTCCAGCCTGTAGTGTTCGCTATGGCAGTTGTTTAGCGCTTTTCACACGACCTCACGTGACTCCGCCATTTTGTGTGAAATAGACCCCGCGTTCGATGTCTCTCGGACGACGAAGATTCTACCGGCCCCCGCCGAAGTTAGTTGGTAGCACTGCTGCTCCACGGCGTACATTTCCTACCAGCCCATAGGGTTTACATGTTAAATGGCCTGTTTTCGGCGAGCGATATCTCGGTCAACCTTTGAAGGAATCAATGGTTCTTAGTCTCAAATGATAGATCAATGAATTTTCTTTCGACAATTCCTCTACCATTTTTCACGAAACCCAGCCGATCTTCTACGGCGTACAGGGTAAAGATTTCTCTGCACGCCAGCACCCGCGATCCGCCTCTCCGATCGTCGGCGCGCGGTCCTCGGTAGCGCAGTCGGTAGCGTATCGGGCTACGGATCCGAGGGTCGTGAGTTCGAATCCTGGGAGCGCCGTGTGATTTCGGCTAGAATTGAATGATGTACAATCTTGAATGTTTGCGTAATTCTGCATCGAAAACAACTTGCTTCCCAAGTTTACCAATTATTAATAGCTAATTGAATGTATCTGCGCACTAATCGGCCCCTAAGACCTGTTATTTAAGAAATTTAAGAAATGAATGTCACGTGCGCGTCACGACTGCCAGCCATAAGCGCTACCATATTCTAGTTTGAACTAACTTTTTGCTAAACCCGACCACATATAGTAGGTTTTCTAGTAGTTATACTAGAAATTCCTACCAAAGTTCGTCCTACCCTTCACTCAATATACCCTGGATTCTACGTCGTCCGGCCAATCCCGTCCAAGGTCAGCGGGGGCTCGGTTGCGGTTATGGAACGTGATTGGCCGGACGGCGTAGAATCTTCGCCGTCCGAGAGACATCGAACGCGGGGAGAGTTTACGTTCCACCTGGCCATTGTACACAACAGATATCAGTTCGGGTTCCATAACACTACATTTTGGCGACTAAGCACGAGATAAGTGCGGACTCTAGTGGAATCGCGTGTCGCGAATTTCCGTGTACCTAACTTTTTTTGGTATATGTCAAGTTTACGTCCTAAGCACATATCAATGATAATTGTTTCACATTCCTACGTATTTTGACGTGCTGAATCCAAAAATCATACTTACATGTCTCGCAACAACAAAATTATCACCAATACACTAAGCAATTACATCTTCCGACAACACACGATCAAAACAAATCGAGAGGAAGTTGAAAGTGTCCAGCGTTGCCATTTGTGAAAATATTTTGTCTTTTTTTAATGTCGAGAAATAAAAACATTCAATATATTATAAAAATAAATAGGAAATATGTAAAAAATATTTATTTAAAAAGAAACATTATTATTAGAAATAGAATAGCAAAACAACAAAGGGGAAATGTTGGGAACCGGGGTTATTGGGTGGGGGGGGGGGGAGGAAAGGAAAATCCTGAGAACTGGGGGGCGATACTTGTGCAAAGTTGGCTAAAATCAAGAATGATATGTAACAGTCGCTATTCAACTGTGAATAATGACGTCATAATATTTCTCGCGGCGAAGCAGCGCAGTGCCGAAGGCAATGCCTTAGGAGAGATTACAGGCAAGAGTAAATAAAATATTTTTAGGTTAAGTGGTTATGTATCTGGCTTCAGGCCGAAGGCCTGAAGCCTGATGCATGACCACTTAACCTAAAAATATTTGATTTACTCTTGCCTGCAATCTATTCCTGCAAGCAACTTTTTCCTTATCCCCGGTAGGCAAAAATCAGTAGGTTAGTTTAGGTTAGGTTAGGTTAGGTTCGGTTAGGTTAGGTTAGGTTAGGTTAGGTTAGGTTAGGTTAGGTTAGGTTAGGTTAGGTTAGGTTAGGTTAGTTTAGGTTAGGGGTTAGGTTAGGTAACAACTAGATTTGAGGCAAGAACCCCGATTCCTAAAATTTCCCAAATGTAACCATTCTTATCGTATTTTTCTCCATCCCCCTCCCCACAAACCCCGGTTCCCGACATTTCCCTATGACGTCATTTTCATTTTTTCTCTCCCCCACCCATGAACCCCTGTTTTTCTCACAGTGTATATAAATAAAGGGTTTATAATATGTATATAATAAAGGGTTTATAATAAAGGGTTTTTTCAGTGTATATAATAAAGGATTTTTCTAACCCTCCCCACCCAATAACCCCGGTTCCCAACATTTCCCCTTTGTTGTTTTGCTATTTAATTTCTTATATTTTTAATATAAATATTTTTTTACATATTACTTTTTTATTTTTATCATATATTGATTGTTTTTATTTCTCGACAGGAAATATTTTTCATCAATGGCAACGCTGCATACTTTCGATTTCCTCTTGACATGTTTTGATCGTGCGGTGTCCGAAGGTGTAATTGCTTAGGGTATTGGTGATGATTTTGTTCTTGCGAGACATGTAAGTATGATTTTTGGATTCAGCAAGTCAAAATATGTAAGATTATGAAAGAAATATCATTGAAATGTGCTTAGGACGTAAACTTGACATTTACCCTTTTTTGTGTTTCGGCCCGCGGTACGGCCATGAGCGGCGACAGTGGACCGCCCCTACCCGCGCCGTTTTTGCCCCATCCCGGGATGCCGGCCGTCCCGTGGAGGAACTGGGAACAGAAATTCGAACTTTATCTGTTGGCCAGGTGCGGCACGAGCCCCCTGCCCCCCGAGCAGCGGCGCGCTCTGCTTCTGTGCGCGATCGGTGACGAGGCGTACCGGGTGTTCGACACCCTGCCGCCGGTTGCGAAACGTGACGGCGAGGACGACTACGACGTCACCCTCCGCCAGCTCCGGGAGTTCTACACTCCCAGGACCAACGTCATCGTGGAACGATTCCGGTTCCGACAGCGAGCCCAGGCCCCCACAGAGTCCACAGCAGACTTCGTTGCTGCTCTGCGCGGCCTGGCTCGCACCTGCCAGTTCGGCCCCATGGAGTCGGAACTCATCCGGGACGTGGTGGTGGAGAAGACCCCCCACCAGCGCCTGAGGGAGCGACTCCTTCAGGACAGGGACCTCACTCTGGACAAGGTCCTGAGCGTCGCAGGGACATACGAGGACTCCCTGCGGGAGGCTGCAGCCATCTCCCAACCAGTTGCAGCCCCACCCGTCTCATCCGTGGCAAAAGTTACGAGGAAGCCACAACAGAAGCGACAGCAGCAGCAGCAGCAGAGCGTCAGCAGCGACTTCTGCACCAACTGTGGACGTGAGGACCACGCACCCAGGGATGCTGCCTGTCCAGCCCGCAGAGTGACCTGCCACTCCCGCGGAAAGAAGGGCCACTTCGCCAGCTGGTGCAGAGGCGGCAGTGGAACAACCCCAGCAAGGCCAGCTCAACGACAGCACCACAAGGCAGTGAAGGAGCTGAACGTGCTCTCCTGTGCTGCCACCACTGGGTCACGCCTCACCTGTACCGTCCAGGTGACTGCAGGTGACGTCACACAGGAGGTACCCCTCCAGGTGGACACGGGTGCCACCTGCTCACTCCTGAGTGTGAACCATGCCAAGGAGCTGTTCAGAGGCGTGGCGTTCAGCCCCTCCAGCTCACGGCTCTACGGATTCGGCCAGCAGCCACTCTCAGTCCTGGGAACGCTGCCTACCACGGTGACCTACAACAATCAGGCTGTGCCAACAAACTTCTACCTGGTGGACACCAAGAAGACGGAGGCCATCATGGGTATGGACCTGCTGCAGGCCCTGGGAGTCACCCTCCACCCAGCCTCGCACAGCGTCTACACGGTGGCAGGCTCAGCCCCGTCAGAGCTACCTGCCATCGAGGGCTACGTGCACCGCATCAAGCTGAAGCCGGACGCAGTACCAACTGCCTACAAGCTGCGCCGGCTGCCCCTCTCCGTGCGAGGGGAGGTCTCAGCAGAGCTGAACAGTCTGTTGGAAGCAGGCATCATCGAGAGGATCGACTCCTCTCAGTGGATCAGCCCGCTGACCGTCTCAAGGAAGAAGGACGGCAGGATCAGGGTCTGTGTAGACCTGCGTGGGCCGAACAGCCAAATCGTGCCAGAGGTCCACCCACTGCCCACAATCGACGAGCTGGAGTCCAAGCTCTGTGGCACCCTCTACAGCAGGATCGACTTGAAGTCGGCCTACCACCAGCTGCGTCTGCACGAGGACTCGCGTGACATCACCGCCTTCCTCACGCCAGACGGCCTGATGCGCTACACCAGGGTCCCGTTCGGCCTGGTGTCTAGCGGCAGCGCGTTCCAGAAGCTGCTCAGTCATCTACTGCAGGGTATCGACGGCTATGGACACTATCTGGATGACATCCTGGTCACTGGCCGTGATCAGTCCGAGCACGACAGGCGCCTCCGCACCGTGCTGGACCGCCTCAAGCAGGCAAATGTCACCATCAACACAGAGAAGTCCTCCTTCAGCCAGCCAGAGGTGGAGTTCTGCGGTCATCAGCTCTCCAGGCACGGAGTGGTACCTCTCCTTCTACCACCAAGGCCGTGGCCGAGGCCCCGCCTCCCACCAACGTAAAGGAGCTGCGCAGTCTCCTGGGCTCAACCGGCTGGTTCAGCAGGTTCGTGCCGCAGTACTCCGCTGTGGTGAGACCCCTCGCCATCATGCTGAAGAAGGAAGCCACGTTCCAGTGGACCAAGGAGGCCAACGACGCCTTCAACGAGGTGAAACGGCTCATCTCAACCAGGCCGGTGATGAAGCCCTTCAGCGCCCGCCTCCGGACGATCGTGACGACCGACGCCAGCGACCGCGGCGCCGGTGCCATGCTCACTCAGATCCAGCCGGACGGCGAGGAGCGGCCGGTGGCGTACTGGTCCCGCTCCTTCACCGACGCCGAGTCGCGGTACTCCGTCTCCGAGAAGGAAGCCCTCAGCGCGGTCAATGCTGTCGAGCATTGGCGGACGTACCTGTGGGGCCGTTCATTCACCCTGCGGACGGACCACTCTGCGCTCACCACTCTGCTCACGCCGAAGACGTCCAACCGCGCCGGCACGCGCATCGCCAGGTGGCAGTCCCGCCTGCTGCCGTACTCGTACACAGTGGAGTACCGGCCCGGGCGCAGCATCCCAGTGGCTGACGCCCTGTCGCGCCTGCCGCTGCCGGACACCGGCGCCGCCGAGACGGACGGCGACGAGATCGTCGCCCTGCTCACCGATGACGTCAGTGACGTCATCACTGATGACGACGTATGTGCCGCGTCGGCCGCCGATCCAGTCATGGAGCAGCTGCGGTCTGTCATCCGCACCGGCTGGCCCGACGCCGCGCGCCAGTGCACGCCGGAGACGCGCGACTACTTCGCCGTGCGGCACGAGCTGCAAGTCCGCCAGGACGGAGTCGTGCTGCGCGGCCCGGACCGCGCCGTCGTCCCGGCCGCGCTCCGCTCAAAGTACCTCCAACTGGCGCACCGAGCGCACGATGGTGTCGTGCGAACAAAGCAGCTCCTGCGCGACCTCGCCTGGTGGCCTGGAATGTCGAAGGACGCCGCTGCACTGGTCGCCGACTGCCCGTCCTGCCACGCAAAGGACGCCGTGCTGACGCAGCAGGCGCGCCCCGCGCCGCTGCAACCGGTCGAGCTTCCAGACCGGCTCTGGTCTAAGCTCGGACTGGACATCGTGGGCCCGATCCCCGGCGCCCCACCGTCTGCAAAGTACGCCATTACTATGACGGATTACCATAGTAAGTGGCCAGAGGTCGCTCTGACGTCATCCATCGAGACTGATGACGTCATCCAGTTCCTGAGCCAGGCCTGGTCCAGAGAGGGACTGTGTGACGAGCTGGTGACCGACAACGGACCCCAGTTCACCAGCGACAGGTTCCGACAGTATCTGGCCCAGCGCGGTATCAGACACCACACGTCTGCCGTCTACTGGCCGCGCGGAAACGGAGCAGTGGAGCGGCTCAACCGAGAGGTGAAGGTGTGGCTCAAGGAGGCCACACAGCTGCAGTCGCGGACGGCCGCCAGCTTCAGCGGACACGTGCGACAGCGCCTCGCTCTGTACCGAGCGACCCCGCACTGCACCACCGGCCAGTCACCCTCGGCGCTCCTGCACGGCCGGCGCATGCGTCTGCACCTGCCGGTCACCACAGAGACTCCGCCGCGCGACAGCTCGCTACAGCACCGAGTCGCTACCCAGCAGCAGCGCAACAGCCGCGGGTACGACTCCCGACAGGCCACCCGGCCGTCAGATCTCCAGCCTGGCGACACGGTGCGCGTGCGGCGACAGGGGCACGTGCCCAAGAACCAGAGTCGGTTCTCCAGCCCGCGCCGAATCGCCAGACAGCTCGGCCCGGCGACCTTCATCCTGTCCGACGGGACAAAGAGGAACGCTGCACACCTCGCCCGCATCCCAGACGCGGCGCCGACCGGCTCAGCACCTCCGAGCACCGACGGGCCGGAACCGCCGCCGCCGCCGCCGCCGGCCGACCCGGCTCCTCCGAGCTCCGGCGAGCCCCAGCCGCCATCGCCGCAGCCGACAGCGTCCACCGCGCCACCTACAGCGCCGACAGAGAGAGCCCGCCCGTCAGATGTCGCTGACGTCGCGCTGCCGGCCGCCACCGGCGCTGCTCGTGACCGGTCCCCCGGTGGGCCGCGCCCGCCTCAGAGGGCGCCCGTCGGCGGCACCCCGCGCCGTGAGTTGCCGGCCTCCTCCCGAGGACGCCGCCGATTCTTGCCGCGCCGATTTACGTGATCGGCGGGAAGTGTAACTTAACCCGCGCGGGGCTGGGGGGGGGTAAATTTTACCCCCCCTCGCGAATTTTTGCGATATCTCAAAAACGGCGGCGCGCAGCGCCGCCAAACTTTCAGTACCTTTTCTTACATCAATTTGACACCTTCCCTGAAAATTTGAGCGAAATCCGTCGGAAAATTTTTGAGAAATTGACGTTTTAGTGACGTCATGTTCGCCATTTTCGCCTCAAAAACGGCAAAAGTTCAAACGCCGCTAACATCTTCATTTTTAAAGGAATCAAGACGTAACAAAAAAGGTTATACGTAATTTTACTTTGTCTATCAAATGGCTATCTCGGTTTTTTGAAAATTTTGGATTTTGGCCTAAATTTTTTCAAAAAACTGATTTTTTTGGGAAAATCATTATAAAATCCAAAATTTTGAGTCTATCGAAAAAACCGGAATATATGTCAGAGAAGTGGTCTATGTGCACCTACGTACAAAATTCTAGAAGAATCGGTTCAAAAATGTGGGAGTTATTCAAAATTTTATGACGTCACGACACACAACATTTTTGAAAAATGACTTGTTTGGAAGTTCTAGACCTCGTACGGAAACAAAAATAGCACCATTCGATTCGCCGTGAAAAACTGCATCAGATAAACACCTTTTTAGGCCTTAACAACCAACTTCAAAATTTGACCTCACTTGACCTGACCTTGACCTGACCTCGACCTGAAATTCATCCAGAGGTGGTCCATATCACTTATTGAGTGTGCCTATTGAATTCTATTAGTAAAATGACCCATAAAACATGTGTCGCACATGCCCTTTTCTATATTTTGTTTTTTGGTGACCTGACCTGACCTGACCTGACCTTGACCTTGACCTCTGAATGATATTGTATGCAACTAATATTGTCTTGGTAGCCTAAGAACACGTTTTGGGCGATCAGTCTCAGTCCATGACTCCATTCTTCGGCAACTACGGTGCAAGGCCGATACTGTAGAAACTTGCAATTTGTACCCTTGACCTGACCTTGACCTTGACCTCAAACTTTAAATTAAGTACATGTTTTTAGTAGTTCGTGATGAGAGCTTTCGATTGGCGTTTGAATTTTCCAAATCGGACCATTAGTTCGGGAGATAACAGGGGGGGTAAAATTTACCCCCCCCCCCCAGCCCCGCGCGTTCGGCTGGAGACCCCAGCCCCGCGCGGGTTAAAGGGCCGGCGGGTGTAGTGTTCGCTATGGCAGTTGTTTAGCGCTTTTCACACGACCTCACGTGACTCCGCCATTTTGTGTGAAATAGAGTTTACGTTCCACCTGGCCATTGTATACAACAGATATCAGTTCGGGTTCCATAACACTACACAGCCGAAGTCCAGCCGACGTCGAGCCGACGTCGGGCCGAGGTCGTTTGCCGAGGTTGACGAGATCGTTTGTCGTTGGACCGACGGGGCCGACGTCGGCATGTTTATTGGGACAACGCGCCAAAAATATCAACCGGCGGCGGGATTCGAGCCCCCCAGTCGCCGACGTCGGCATGTTTACCATGGGACAACACGCCAAAAGCATCAGCCGGCGATGGGATTCGAACCCCGTGTCATTTGAACGCGAGGTTAGTGCGCTAACCACTACACCACGCAGCCAGATACCGAATTTAGTTTGTTTTGTTAGGTTATGCCCTTTCGGTCTGACAGGACCATTTCAGAGCCGGAAGGATGATAGGATGGAGACATTGGTCTTCTTGGCGAGCACCCTGGGTCCAGTTCATATAGAGTCCCTGGTCCCATTGCTGTTACGTGACACTTATTGGAAAGGGCGACCCCACAATGGATTCATATAGCCACTCTTACACACCTGCACCAACGTTTCCCAAAGTGTCCCTTTGATAAGTGGCACTTTGGCAAAGTGACACTTGCCGACTGGCCATTCTATATGAACTGGGCCCGGCCCTGGTGAGTTGCCGGGGCTGAGCGTGACCAAAGGACAGTGTTCGCCACGGGCCCCAAAATCCCCAGCCCAGCCCGGCCCGGGCCCATGGGTTCAGAGCCCGGCCCAGCCCGTAGCCCGCTCTTGGCAAATATTCCAAGCCCAGCCCGGCCCGGCCCGTCAAAAATAGCAATCTAGTTATTGTCTTAGTCTATGGCTATAATAAGCATGATTGATTACACTATTTTGAGAACAATTCAAATTGCATGAATATTAACATGGCAATCATGACTCCCTTCTTTTCAATGAATATAATCATTTCAAGCACCTATGGCACAAATTTTAACAGTAACAGCAAGCACCTCAGTCAATTAGGTCATGATTACACACCTATAAAAAGTTTACATGATTATATTAACTACATTCTATGAGTAAAGTTATCTTGCAAGCTGATGTGTGTGAACATTATCATTAATAATTGGTGACTCTAATGCATACTTGAAGGAAGTATTTGCAACATACTCTATACTTCCCAGCACTTACCAGCAGAAAAAAAGCTTGACTTATGGGAATTGATGAATCTGTCTGGGATTGACCTTGCTGTTAAATTCACTCCATAGATGCTGCAATATCAAAAGCCTGAGAAAGCATACAAAATAGGTGACACTAACTTTAGCACTGTCTTCCAAAAAAAAAGAGAAAATCCATCCATTTATCAGCAAAACTGATTTAATCTATTTTCAATTCATGCCCACGTGTCAACCGAATCTCTGTGGACAACTATCTGCTACTTTCCTTGCTATTTTATGTTAGGCTCTTTTCAAGATATGGATATCGCTAGCAGCGTAAGCAGAAAACATGGTAAGCTTGAAATGTCATTGGGTACTTTTGCGACTTGTACGCATCATCATCATCAATCGAAAATGAGCGAACACTTCTTGATTGTCGCAGCTGCGGCAGGTAGCGATTCTGACGAATTGTATAATAAAACATATATGATCAAGTTTTTGTTTTGTTTTTCGTTCGAGTTTTCAGACTTCGTGATTTTGGTTTTATTTTTCATTGGTTTAATTTTGTTTTCACCTTGATACTCACTTAAAAAACGTATTTATTTGATATACTGTTGTGTATACTACCTAGATGCCGCCACATAAACATAGCGCCGCCGCCATGATTGCACATTTTGTTGAGAAGGGGCTGGTTTGTTGTGATTTATTTTGACAAATTTATGGACATTTAAAGAAGCTTTCATCGCGAAATACTCTGTAGAGTTCCTCGTTACTTACAGTGTGTTTTGTGAGTATCCTTTTAAGGTTCTGTTCGTTAAAAAGCCGTCGGTGAAGGAAAAAAGACTGTGTTGGAATTGTCTCACTATCGCCATATATAAGTGTTAACTTAATGTAGCCCTGTAGCCCATCATTGTTGAGTGGCTTCTTAGTTTTTGGAGTTGTAGTGCTAAGTAAGTTGTTCTGATGACTACATTTTAACTTTTATTAACAAACTAATGATGCTAGAGATTCTCTGATCTTTTTGGTTGCGGAATTTTTATGAAAACCCTCCTATGTGTGACATGATGTGATATTGGATAATTCTCAAGATTCCCAAAATTCAATATCAAGTAGGTTTTCTTTCACATTGCTTAAATTTGGTTTAGTTTTTGTATTTTCCCAGTGGGTTTTGTTTGCATCAGTTTCCAAATTTTCTTAAATTGACATTAGTCGCAAAACCCATAGTGCACAAAGTTCTTGGCCCGGCCCATCCATAGCCCGTTAACTAATGATATTTGGGGGCCCGGCCCAGCCCGTAGCCCAGCCCGGCCCGTGGCCCGTTGGGCTGGCCCGGCCCGTGGCGAACACTGCCAAAGGATAGGCCGAGCAGCCCCCAAGCACTCACCGCACCCGGCTACGGATGAGCTCGGCTGACGGCTTACGGGCAATCCCAAATGGGATAAAGTTTCCCGTCCAGTCCGGATCAGGGGGTTGCGGCGTGGAGGAAGATTTGAGTTTCCTGAGGATATTTTGAATACAGAAGCTCTTTATGAAACATGAAACATGCATTTTATATTATTTTAACGGTCAAAACAGCGGCCGATGTCGGTCCGACGTCGCCCCGACGTCGGCCCGACGTCGGCCCGACGTCGGCTGGACCTCAGCAATTGATCTCGGTCCGACGTCGGCCCGACGTCGGCTGGACCTCTTCTGGACGTCGGTACATGCGGGCATATCCGACATCCAGCCGACGTCGTGCCGAGGTTGGACCGACGTCGGGCCGACGTCGGCATGCCGATGCCGAGTTGCCGACGTCACCCCGACGTCGGCCGACGTCGGGCCGACGTCGGCATGTTTACTGGGGATGACCTCGGATTTTTTTTTAATATGGTACTTCCTCTAGATGAGACAAACACACCGGTGGGCGAATTTTTCAAATCGGACCATAAACAAAGAATCTAGATTCTAGAGGGTACACAGTGTTTTGACCTCTCAAGGTCAAACGGTTTGACATTGGAAAAAAGTCACCATTTTCGAACTCAGCGTGCCATGGGCAAGTATACCAATTTTGAGCGAAATCATTACTTGAATTTTAATCCGAATAGTTTCGTTTAGTGACCTTGACCTTGACCTATTACCTTGACTCCGGATTTTTTATTGTGCTTCTGCTTCTCGATGAGACAAACATACTGGTTGGCGAATTTTTCAAATCGGACCGTAAACAAAGATTCTACAGGGTACACAGTGTTTTTACCTCTCACGGTCAAACAGTTTGACCTAGGAAAAAAGGTCACCATACGGGCGAGGGAAAAGCGCAACCAAAAAGGCAAAAATATGCACATGCGATAACCTATACTGCGAAAAAAGTGCATCATTTTTTAACGTCGCCGACAAATTGTAATTACCCCAAGCTCAGGCAGGTGTATGGTAGAAAATACCCCAACTGAAATACACTACGGCGGAAATAAAATACCCTACGGCGGAGCTCGGTTGCAATTTGTAAATACGCTTCGAACTCAGCGTGCCGCATGTTTTTTAATCCCACCCAGAAATGACAAACAAGCTCCCTGATTGGCCAGTTGCCGGCCAGTTGGACTTGAG